CTCTCTCTCTCTCTCTCTCTCTCCCCTCTCCTCTCCTCTCCCCTCCCTCTTTCTCTCTCTTTAAAAAATAAATAAATAAATAAAAGAAGAGAAAGTTTGAGAATACCGATTTCATAGGAGGAAGTAGTGGAGCAGAAAAAAGGGAGAGAAAATTAAAGTAAAAGTGAAGTTTGTCCTTGTCAAAAAAAAAAAAGAAAGAAAGAAAGAAATTTCAATGGGCTGGGGATGTGGCTCAAGTGGTAACGTGATGGGTTCTATCCTCAGCACCACATAAAAATAAAGATGTTGTGTCCATCGAAAACTAAAATATTAAAAATTCTCTCTCTCTTAAAAAAAGAAATTTCAAAATATAATGGAAGAACAAAAAAGGCTCTTTATAATTGAAAAAAAAAAATCAGCTCTTTCCTGAATAAAAAAATAATAAGTTGATATTTCATGTGTAAACAAATGTAATTCCAACTTTCTGGTTTTGAAGTATTCTTTGTTTTTTTTTTTTCTTCAATTTGGTTTAATGGAGAGTTATGGAATATGAAGAAATTGGGGCAGATTGTTAACATTTATGTTGAAGAATACCTGCAATAATTACTAAAAACTTCATGGCAAACTTACTGCTGAGAAGTGATTTATCCTAACGTAATAAAATTTACTATTTTATGATATTGGCATAAGATGACGCAAATAGAAGAATAAAACTGAAAAAGCAATAGGAACATATTATACTGAAATTGGTAATTTAATGTTTTTAAAGGATGGTGACTATTTTAGGGTAAAATAATCCCTTATCTACCTGTAAAGAGGTTTCATCTCTGGGGTAGCTCATCCACATACCCTGTAAGAGCCACTAGTTACTAAGCTTTTATGAATGTGAAGGGTTAGATACAGTAGACTTTCAATATGCAAATGGAGCTCTTCCTTGCTAGAGTTGTTGAGAAGAGGAAAGGAACTCTTAGCACAAAGTTTGTAGTATAGTAGACACTTAGACAGTAAATATGAGTAGCTTTTACTCAAGGAGAACAAACATATGTCAAGTTCACTACATTGTATAAAATAGCATGATTTTTCTTAAACACATACACACACGCACGCACACACACACACAGACTTCCAGGCCTTCCTTATTTTAAAATACACTAGAAACATAATCTTTACTCAATAAATACTTAATAGAAATTGAGTTCTGAAAATGCGACTGTTCATACAGATTTTTCTTAATTTTCAGTCATATGTTTCTGAACTTGAGCCAATTCTTTAAGCTAAATTTTATACCAAAATGACAAAATATTTATTGTGCTTATTCTTCCTTTTCAACCTGTGAAAAATTCTGTATCTACCTTCAATCCAAACATTCAGGAATATGGTGGTTTGATTAGTGAGGACTCTGATGTGGTCTATGAACCTAGAGAGGGGTTCCTCAGAGTGAGTGTTTTCCCTCCAACCCCAGACATGAGCTGACACAGCCCTGCCACTTCCTGTCTGGGGTGCCCACTCCCTGCGTTGGTCCCTACAGCAGGTGGCTATCTCAGGCAGACCCTGGGTTTTTGTGCATCTCCCTCCAACAGTCCTCCCACTGTGCCCTCTCTCAGTGCACAGAAATACACGGCTGAGTCCCCCAGCTGTGAGGCTGAGATGACAAGCTGGATGGATTTGCTTGCCTTCTGCAAATTCACTGAGTAGCGACCTTCAGTGGCATTTTGCTGGCTGTAAGAGTTCTGAAGGATGAGGAAGACCATCTCCCCACTGCTGGGCTGCTTGTACCAGAGGAGACCATAACGTGTCTCACTGGTGTCATAGGAGCAGAGCAGGCTCACAGCCTCCTTCTCCTGCACCCACATGGCTGGCTGGGCCTGAGTCACCTTCTGGGCAAAACTGGATCCTGAAGGGAAAAGGACAGAATCAGAAAGTTGAGGGACAAGTGGTTGGGATAAAAAAAAGTGCATTTTTACACATTGTGAACCATCCCCCGCAAAGTTCCTTTAAGGCTACCCTGTCCCTCAGTCCCTTGGTCACAGAGGAGGCCCCTTCCCACATGCATCATCCTTACCCAGCCACATTGATGCCATGAGCAGCTTCAGCAGCCTGGGCAGCACCATGTTTGCCTTCTTCCTTCAGAAGAAATTCTTCTTCCACTTCAGAACTCTGCACTGGGAGGGGAGCCTGACAGGGTGAGGGAGGATCTGCTGTGGTACGGGCTGCTGCTGCACCAGAACAGGAAACAGGCTACCTATATAATACATCGCTACTCCTACAGGTCTCTGGGCCCTGCTTTCTCCCCCTCACACAAACTAATATGTTGGCTTCCTGTGAAATAGTCGGCAGTCAGTACACATAATTACCAAAGTATATAGAATCCATTCCTTACAAACTTAACTAGATAAATAACTCATGAATCAATCCTCTCATCAACATGCCAACAGGTTGTCTTTTCTGGTTCTCATTTAAATAGCTTCTGTATAGCCTAAAACTAAATGACAAGGTATTCTGAAATGTTCCAGAGAAAGATGCCTTTGAAACTTATAGAAAGGAGCTAAGTACTGTTTACTACCAGTTCAGCAGATAAAGTACAAAGAGCTGATCCTAATTGCATTTAACCACTAGTATGAATCATTCATCGTAAAGTGACAAAAATCAAAAAGTAACCAACATTAAAGATCTCAACTACATTGTGTAGATAATGTCCATAAACAGAAAATGAACACTGACCCAGATCCTTGAAGTACAAGCCCTGGAACAAGGTAGACAGTGCCTCTGAGACCATCAGAACACAGTTCTCTAACTGACTGGAATCACTTGATGTGATATCTCCTGTCCTATCCTTTATTTTCATATTTTAAGTAGTATTTTCTCATCTTAATGATAGAATGTTATATATTTCTAATTTTTCCTACATTGTTCTTGTACTAATAAAATAGCTTGATTAGGTGCAGGATATACTTGAGGCAATGTCCACATTAGTGCTATATTTAAGGTCTGTGAAGCCATTGGTAGTGAATTAAACCTAAAGAATTGTTGGATATGTCATCCAGTGCCATTTCCAGAAAAATCTAAGTCATTACCCAGTCTAAGTCATTACCCAGTCTCAAGAAGTATAGCCTAATTGATTTTTGATCAATAAAATTGGACTTAAAATGTTAGAAATGTCTATACTGATGAATAATCCAGATAGTTGGTGCAATTAAAGTTATTTAGAAAGAATGACTCACCCTGATTCTATGAACTGACATAACACTCATCTGAAACTCTCCTTTATCAATTGTCATAATAGTGGGGGGTTTAATTCCATTTTTTATAGAAATAGAAATCAGATCTCCAAGGAAATAGAAACACTGGAGGTAATGATTTTTTAAATGAAATGACAAAAATTTTAAACATTCAGGAGTAGAAGCAATAGAGGTTGTGCAGAGATGGAGCTCTCATGTGTACCCAATAGCATCTGCTTCCTTTATCCAAGACTCAGACATCTCATAATGATTAAATTGTCTGATTCTAGTGGCTCAGGAAGCTGAGGCAGAAGGACCATGAATTCAAAGTCATGCTCAGCAACTTAAAAAGGCCCTAAGCAACTCAGTGAGACTTGGTCTCTAAATAAAATAGATTGCTTAAGCAACCCTGGATTCAAAGCCCAGTACCAAAATTAATTAATTGACTAATTAATTAATTGTATGGTTCCCTTTCTAGGACACTTTTTAAAGTCACAAATAGAAAAAAAACACAGGTTTGGCAGGACTTAGGGGTGGGAGGGTGTAATTACAATAGGAGAGACAAGAGTTTCTGAGGTAATGACACTGTTCCATGTCATGATTGTGCAGTGGTTACAGAGATCTTTATGATGCTCTGGAATTCAGTGTTCACAGATACAACTACACAGCAAAGGATTTATTCTTCTGTACAAAAATTTAAGAAATAATTGAAACAGCAGGAAAATAAAGTGATTGCACTTTCTTTGTGACTGAACTCAGTCTAATACATAATATTACTTATTCACTGTAGGAAGCAAGGTCCAGCCATACCCACTATGGGAAGCAAAATAGCACCAATCAGGCCCTGACCCCTGGAATGCCAGTTAATTTATATGCAGATATATTTAAGTTAAAGATCATGAGTATACTGGATTATATGAAATTTGAAAGCAATCTTGTGTGTGCTTGCAAGAGGGACACTTATCAATGGGAGAGAGACACCAGGGTGACTGTGGAGGCCGAGACTGGAGGAGGCAGCCACAAGCCCAGAAATGCTGGTGGCCATCAGAGCTGGAAGGGACCAGGAGCAGATTTTCCCTACAGACTCTGCACAGATGCAATCCTACTGACACCTCAAGTCCAGCCCAGAGAAACTAATTTCAACTTCAGGTCTCCAGAATCATGACAGAAAAAGAACCCTTCTGTTACTGTAAGCCACCAAGTTTGTTACAAAAGCAAAAGGAAAACACACACCAACCATGGTGTGGGTCCAAAGCTTGAATGTGTCTGGACCTGAGATATTGACTCTGTGTGTGTGTGTGTATATGTGTGTGTGTGTATGTGTGTGTGTGTGTTTATTTTTTGGATAAATTCTCACCTTAGCAAGATCTTTTAACTGAATAGTAACATACCCTCTGTCTTATACCATAAAACTTAGCAATAAAATGTAAGCCATGCTTCCCTCTTACTCCATGACCAGTCTTGGGGGAAGTGGACTAATAAGGAGTCCACTTCCTTCTCCAGGACAGGAGCTAGTGATAATATTGAGGGAAAGAAGGACAGCCAGTTGAAGGAGGGGCCACAACATTATCCATTTCTATTCAGATGTTTTAAATCTAATTTATTCTAAAGACTACAAGAACAAGCCAATTAGCTGGGAGAGACCAGAAGCAGATTTTCCCTACAGCCAAGAAGGATCCTCCTCACCACACCAATGGCTAGTTGTATTCATTAAAATGGGAGCTGTTGAAATACACCTACCTTTGACCAGAAGTCGGAGAATTAGGCAATTTCTTATTTACTCAGTTTATTTACTTTTATTGATTCATCAGCATCACTAGAAGATATAATTTTAAAAGAAACTTGTGATAATAATGTTTGATTCAGTCTAGACATGAAGACAGAGAGCTTTGTAGTGAGCCATCTGTGAATCATTAACCAAATTCCTTCTGTAACCCACTAGTAAGACTTGAATAAAGCAGTGGAAAAATACATACAAATATTTTTTCACATATACTAGAAATAAAGGTAAAGGAAAATAAATGTAAATGTTGAGGAGTAAATATAACTATCTTTATAAAATGGAGTTTTATCAAGAAAGAAAGGCATAGGTAAATGAAAATAAATAGTATTCTTTAAAACAAATTTTGTTCTATATAATTGGGGTTTAAAACATGATGTTTCCAGATGAATATAGATAGTCAAGTGACTACATAGTGAAGCAAATTACATATCTATTTTCTTCCATAATAATTTTTTGTGTTTGACAAAAAAACAGCTAAAGTCTATTTATTGGACAGTAATCCCGAATACAGTATAATTAGCTGTACACCATATGTTGTATAACACATCTCTAGACTTCTTTGTCATAGGACATATGAACTTCTTTGTATTCTTTGACTAAATATTAGAAAGATTATCTGGGTACAAATTTATCAATTTCACATTTTTTTGTATCATACATATTTTCTGTGTTTGTTGTGTAATGTTTTCTAATCTGAAAAAATAACTAATACAATATCTAAAGAGTCAAGAGCCCACCAATAACAGGGATTATGATATTGATCCCAAGGGGTTATTTATATGAGAGGAGTCTAAATAGCAGTCTAAACACATCTTCAAAGTCTGGATTTCAAGGCAAAACAGTTCTAATTCCACTTAAGAACCCATTAAGCACAGCTTTAGGATTGCTGATCACATGGAGATACCTGGATTTGGGTATTCTTCCCCCCCCATACATCTTCTCATCTATCTGTTCAATTATTACTGTTTATGTATATCAAAAAAATCATGTTGTAGACTTTAAATATAAACAAAATAGTTGGAATATTTTGTTAAGAAACATTAAGCAAAATTATTAAGCAACTGGGTCATAATGAACCCAACTTGTTTACTATATGTATTTAATGTTAATATGCTAGTTTCCATTTGCATTGAGACAAATGCTATGGGAAGACTGTGACAAAGGAAGCAGGTGGGGCTCAGCCCAGTGGCAGGTTTGAGTACAGGCTGCAGGTGTCTGGGAAGCATTGTGCACTGGCTGCACAGAAGTAGACAGCTGAGTCTCCAGGCTGGGTGGCTGTGATGTTCAGGGAGAAGTGTTTGGCTCTCTTATCCAACACAACAATGTATCTTTGGATTTGATTTATCTCCTTATTTGAACGAATGTCTATAATACGTCGGGGACCTTTTCCAGCTTCTTGTTTGTACCAAGGAAAGTAGTCCAAAGCACTGTCTGAATAAGTACAGTTGATAACAGCGCTGTCTCCCTCCTGGACACTCAGGGTAGAAGGATGCTGATCCACCTTCTCTCCTTGGCTAAACCCTATTCAGAAAGAAAATGAAAAAAAAAAAGATTTTGTTGGCATGTGATTACTCTTCAGAATTTTCCTTTTCTTCAGTGACTAGTGACTACCTGCATAAAGCCATTCTTCCCATATGTCTAAAGAACCTCTGCTCATATCCTCTATTTCCCCAAAATCCTCAACTCACAGTCCAGCTGCAGCCACAAGAACATGAATAAAGCAGGATTAGATGTCTTCATTATTCTTCTCAATTAAGATCAATCCAGACTTGCAGTCTACTAAGGAGACCTGCTTGTGTCATCAGGATGTTCCTTTTTCACACTAACAATTGTATCAACTTCTCTTAATTGTCTACCCAGCCTTTAAGAAAAAGCCTATTCATTCAGAATCCACTGCAAGGAAACCTCCAATTCTGCACCAGCTGGAGTAGACTGCCCCCTTGTGGTCATAACCCTAAATACTGTACTCTGGTTAAATGGTCTTTTATCCTATCACAAATGAAGAAAGACATATAGAAGTAGAAATGAGTCAAAATGGGTCTTGGTTCAAAGATTAAGTTTACAGCATGTATGCAGAGATAAAAGTTGGTATTAGTGAACATTGTTAATAAACTGGAAAGCAGTAGATGCTGTTAGTATTGGTACAACGATGGACCGACTTGACAGATTTGAAATCAAGGAAGTGCCATGATTTACTCTCACAAACAAAGAAGCACTTAATACTTGCCCTTTCAGTCAAATCTTCCTTCAAGATTTCTCCATGTTGGAGAAAAACTCTTTATTAAAGTTACTTATAAGCCCAAGATGAGAGTAAGACAGAGAGGACAAGTGAATATTTGAAATGCACATTATCTCAGACGCTGCTCATCCAAGCCTGGTCCTGCCTATAACTTAACATGCCTAGAGAATGGGCAGTACCAAAGTCACACTGTGGCATCTTCCTTCAGTAAAGGTGTGAAAAAAAGCTCATGTGTGAGACAATGCATGAAGGCTTAAAGGACAAATGCTTGGGTTGTGAAAGCCTTAACCCAATCAGTAGATTAATTCCCTGGTAGGCTTAACTGAGTGGTAACTGAAGGTCTGGTCGAGTGTGGCTGGGGAGGTGGGTCATTGGGGGCTTGCCTTTGAGGTATACATTTTGTATCTGATGCTGATAATGTTGGGATCCTTCCTTCAAAGAACGGCCACTTGGGATAATGAATATACACTGTGACTTTTAGAAAAAGCCTTAGAGATTATCTGGGTGTTGAATTTCTCTCTGCTTCCTCATGATCATTGGTCCAAAGATTAGGCTTACAGTGACTGGTGAATATTTTGCCTCTAGTGTCTAGTGAATGCTTTGCCTCTGTCACACTCTTCCACAATGATGTTCTGCCTAATCTCAAGACTCAAGGAATGGTGCCGCAGTCTGGCTGGGCACAATTCAGGAGCCACTTGTCAAAAGAAACTAACTTTATTTTTAGAACTACAAATGCCAAACAAAACAGCTCCTCAGG